ACTGCTTTTAAAGTCTGTTTGAAGCCTATTGAATTGGTTACAATATTGCTTTTGTTTTTCCTTTTGTTTTTATTTGGCTGCTAGGCATGTGGGATCTTAGCTCCTAGAGCAGGGATAGAACTCACGCCTCCTGCACTGGAAGGCGAAGTCTCAAACTCTGGACTCCTAGGCAAGTGCCCACTGCTCTATTTTTAACATCTGCCAAAACCACACTGGCCTCCATGGATTCACATAGGCTGCTACCACATTGATATCTGTTCCTTAGAATTTTGCAGGTGATTACAAGCACACTTTGATTGGGGGACTGGATTGAATTCTAGACAAAATAATCTATTTTATCATTCGACTAACATTTCATCATAAATATAATCAATTATAGAAGATTTGAAACTACTGATATCCTACTATTTAACCACTACTGGACTTCCCTGGTGGTCCAGTGGATAAGACTCCGTGCTCCCAATGCAGGGGGTCCAGGTCCATCCCTGGTCGGGGAACTAGATCCCACATGCTGCAACTAAGAGCTGGCACAGCCAAAGGAAAAATAAAATAACCACTCCCCCAAAAAACCTGTCCTAAGTACTAACATCCATTAATTAAAAAAAAAAAAAAAAACAACTGCACTGTTTCACGGAGAGACAAGCTTCTGCTAATATTCAGCCATCAGCTAATATTCAAACATTAAAATCCAGACATTGTTGACTATTACATGTAAACAAACCTGAGTTGTAAATACACCTTTACTTTTCTGGTCATGGCACAAATAACTTGGCACATTTAAATTTTCATACATGAAAAAAAAGAATATGGCTTAATATTTTTATAGTTTTCTCTTACACACAGTGTACTAAATAAACTTCTATCATTATTCTGCAGTCTATTTAAAGACTGAATTTCTAAAGTACCTTCAACTGACTGGTTTGTAGGGTGCACCTTGGGGTGTGGCAGGATGCCCACTTTTCTGACCCACTGCTGGGGGTGAGGTGCCTATCTTCTTGACTGAGGATCAAGTTTCCCTTTTGTCTTCATCAGGCCAGATCCTAGGAAATGCATTCATAACAAAGAGAGCTGTTGACATCTTGCTGGCAGAAGAGCCCAGGAAAGTCAGTGATAACTTATTCCCAGTTGAAACCTTTGATCCCCTTATCTGACCAGCTGCCTAGCAGAGCCTCCTGAATCAAACTTGGGCTTTAAGAAGATCTTTCAGCTTGGGGTGCATTTAAAACACTCAAGGGAGAGATGATGTGGGTAAATACCTTTAATTTTTTCTTTTGTCCTCACCATGTGGCATGTGGGATCTTAGTCCCCTGACCAGGGATCGAACCCATTCCCCTGCATTGAAAGCACAGTCTTAAGCACTGGACCACCATGGAAGTCCACCAGATACCTTTACTCAGATGTGGCAACATAGGAAGGCAGGAGAATATAAACTGAGAACATGGGCACTGGTTCAAATTCCTCTAGAAGCAGCACGAACCTAGGAAGATGATGAACTGACCTCTCCCCGAGGTTCTCTGCACTGTTCTTACATAGAGCCTACAGTATCACGGTGTGAGGCTTAAAATGGTTAAATACAAGGAAAGATTAAGAAAGAGTACTTCAGAAGTCCTCTTTAAGTGCTTGCTCAGTAAATGTCCAGAAGCAAAAGCTAGAAACTGGGTCGGATTGCCTCCAGAGAGAGGACTTGGATAGCTATAGGACAGGGAAGGGTGGATGTTTACTTTTCATCCTGTACATGGGAAGGGTGCTTTTGAGGCTCGTGCAGAATACACCTAAATGTTTCCCATGACTCCCCATGTCAGCCTCGTGGCGGGGACAGTGCAGGGGCTGTAGCCCACATGGTGGTGTTGTTACTTAGTCGTTAAGTTGTGTCCGACTCTTTGTGACCCCATGGGCTGTAGCCCTCCAGTTCTCTCTGTCTATGGGATTTCCCAGGCAAGAGTACTGGTGTGGCTTGCTAGTTCACAGAACTGAAATTGAGACATTTTAAGGGCCTCGTCCAGAGTCACATGATGCATGATGGAACTGAGACAGGAATGTAGTTGGTTCCTTGAGGACGGAGATCCCTGAATCTCTAAGACTTCCCAATGATGCCCTATTCGCCAACCAAGGGCTCCTCTCCCCCTCTTTTTCAAAATATCCTGCCCCAGGGTTTCTGCGGGGAGAGAACTGATACCCCGGAGGAGGTCTTGAGCCAAAAGAATGGCTCAAACCCTGAGCCAGCCCCCAACCTCTAGGATTTAATCCTTGACCCCAAACATGACAGATATCTCCAAAGGAAGCCCCTCTGAAGGACCAGGGGAAGTCCAACCATGTGTTCATCCTACCCCAGCGTCTTCACACTGTCAGCTGTCTCACGCCTGAGCCTTCCTGATGACCAGGTGACCACCCTGCGTGACCAGCGGTCTGTTTGACCCCTAAGCTGGCTCAGAACTTAGGACATTCCAAACCAACTGTCACATGATGGCTCTGCCAAGATTTAACTTCCCTTCAACGGGCGAGCCTTGGATGCGCAAGCAGTTCATACAAATTTAACTGGAAAAGTAGCCATCTAGGCTGGTACACTGGGAATTTAATGAATTAAGTCTGTGACCCTCAATGTCTTACTGACTTAAAGAATTTTTTTTTAATTTATTCACTTAGTTTTGGCCGTGCTGGGTCTCCACTGCTACACGGGCTTTTCTCTAGTTGTGGAGAGCAGGGGCTGCCCTCGAGTTGTGGTGAGGGGGCTCCTCATTGCAGTGGCTTCTCTTCTTGTGGAACACAGGCTCTAGGGCAGGAGGGCTTCAATAGTTGTGACACGTGGGCTCCAGAGCACAGGCCCAGTAGTGGTGGTGAATGGGCTTAGTTGCTCCAAGGCACGTAGGATCCTCCCAGATCAGGGATCGAACCCCTGTCTCCTGCACTGGCAAGTGGATTCTTTGCTATTGGGGGAAGCCACCAGGGAAGCCTCTCACGGACTGCTGAGGTGAGCCACTGTCTGAGCAGCCTGGGCTGGGGAGGGCCTGAGGAAGGGCCCTGGCCTGCACTGGCTCTGAGAGCTCACCCTCCCTACTCATCCTTTCTCACCAGAGTCCAGGCCCTGAAGGTTCCTCCTCCATCCCCAGACCCTGTAGAAGCAGAGGACAGACTCCCGTCTCCTCCTCTGAGAGGGACCTCTCCAGAGCCCCACCCTAGAAACCCCACCCCGGGACTATTCCTGAGGATGACCCAGGCCCTTCTAACTTCTGTCACCAAATGTTTATTTCACTAAACCAATGGCTTTGTCCCTTCTCTGCAATCATCAAGTAAGCAAGCGGAAGCATGCATGCTCAGTCGTACCTGACTCTGCAACCCCGTGGACTGTAGCCCACCAGGCTCCTCTGTCCGTGGGACTCTTCAGGCAAGAATACTGGAGTGGGTTGCCATGCCCTTCTTCAGGGGATCTTCTCAACTCAAGGACTGAACCTGTGTTTCTTCGCATTGGCATTTGGGTTACCACGAGCCCTACCTGGGAAGCCCAACCACTCGTACAAGCCAGTACTTTCCCACACTTGATCAACAGTTCCCTTGACACATAAGGACTGTGCCAAGTAATGAGAAAAAAATGTTACATGATGAAGTTAACATGAGGGTTCTGGAAGGAAGACAGGGAGAGGGAAGGAGTGAGCTGTAGGCAACGGGGGAGGGGGTTGGCAGCGGAGGGAGCAGGACCAGGGCCTCTGTCTGCTGTCCTGAGGACTGAGCACTGGGATGGGGCAACAGCCTCGAACCACCCACCTTTGAGAGGGGAAGGTGGCAGGCGGGGGAAGGGGACGAGTGCTGTATCTCCACGTGCCGGGACTGCTCTGGAAGTAGAGGGGTGAGGGCTAGACGTGGGTTTCAATGGAAACAGGGCTCACGCGAGGCCTAGCCTGGGAGGAAGGTAGACACTGTCTGTCCCCAAAGTTCTCGGCTCAGGTCTTCATCCGCCTCTTAGACCCCAGGAGAGTGGACCGCGCCCTGGAGGAGGAGGACTTGGTTGACGGCTCAACTGTCTTGAGTCCAGCCAAGTCCTCAGCAGGTTGACGGGTCCCTAAGAGGACGGCGTCTCCTGGCTGTGAGCCCCTGGAGCTGGGGCTGCTGGGGGTAGAGGCTGGGGTGGACACGCCCCTGAAGGCAACCTTGGCTGGGGGTGGGCTGTCTTCTCGGCTGGAAGTATGGGGGCTCTGCCCGGGGGCACCCCCAGGCACGTGACTGAAGATGGGGGCAGTAGCACCTCCAAAGCCAGGCTTCTCATGAGTGCTGGGCTTATTCTTAGCAGTGGGCTTATTCTTATCCCTGGGCCCCATAATCACCATGGGGGGGCTCTGGCCAGGAAGGCCCCGGTGTTCTGGGCCACTCTTCCCGCTCTGCTGTGTGTGGTTCTCCGGGCTCCCCTTCTCTGTGTTGAAAGGCTGAGAGCAGCAAAGAGGCAGCTGACATCCAGGACGGACGCTCCACTTCCAACGCCCCGAGGTGCGGCCGAGCCCCCCGGCCTGCAGGGGGCTGTGCGTGATCCACTGACTGCTGGGCAGCGCGGCCCGCTGCGGGGCCCCGCACTGGGCACGGCCTGGGGCACGCAGGTGGCAGCGGCAGGGGCTGGGCCAGCTGGGAATGCAGCCGAGGCCGGCTGGGTGCTGGCACGGGTGCCCATGGGGGAGTTGGTGGGTGGAGCTGGGGGGCCTGGAGCAGAGGTTGGATTCCCCGTTAGGGCTGGAGCTGCCGGGTTTCCACAGTGTGGTGAGTGGCCCCAGGCGGGGGCTCGGCGCTGCTGCACATCAGGGACCCCAGAGGTGGGCTGGGCCGGGGCTCTGGTGTGAGAGGAGCAGCTGAACCGGAGTCCAGGCAGGCTGGTGCTGACCGTGGCAGAGGCCGCGCTGTCCCTGGGGGGTGTCTGCAGGGCCTGGGAAGATGGGAAGAGGCTCCTGCTGGATCCAGGGGGAGACCCGAAGAGGGGAGACGGGGAGGGTGGACTGGTGTCCATGGGGGTGACCTGAGTGTCAGAAGCGGGGTGGGGAGTCAGGCCCCCAGATGTGCAGGGTGAGGGTCTGGTTTGGAGAGAAAACCGGATGAGCTGGCTGATGAGCTGGCCGATGGGGAGCAGGGATTGAGGATCAGATACGGGAGGGGGGCTATGGCGGGTGAAGACAGGAGAGTCCAGGCACATGGGTGTGGGGGACCCCAAGCCCGAGGAGCCCGGCGCTGCAGGGAAGGCCTGTGTGGCATCTTCCGCAGCCGGGCCCCACGCCGGGGGCTGGCAAAGGCCTCCTCCTCCTGCCGCGCTCCTAAGAGGCCCCCGGACGGGCCTCTGGAAGCCGGGAAGCCAAGCCGAACCCGGGGCCCAGGCCGGAGCCGGGCTTCCCCTCGCACCCGCCGTGCCTGTTGCGGGGGCCGAAGCAGGGGCCGAGGGGCTTGGCGGCCGAGCATTCAGGCTCGCGCTGCCCGATCCTGGGGAGGAAGCTTGGGTGGGCAAGGTGAAAGGGCCGGGGGGCCGTGAGTGGGAAGGAGGGCCCGGGAGGGGCTGGGACCGGGGAGACAGGGGCCGGGAGGAGCCGTGCCTTCCCCCTGACCAAGGATGCGCAGCGGGGGCCCCTCCAGCAGACTCCCGGGCGTCTACTGGCGCTGGGGAGGCCGACTCCCTCTGGCCTCTCTCGGGCCGAGGAGCCCTGCCGGGGACCGGAGGGTCGGCCGGCGCGGGGAAGGGACGGTAGGGCTGCGGGGACGGGGTCTCATCCCGCAGCGCGCTGTTGATGCGCCGGAGCGCCGCTGCTTTCTCCGCGTCCAGGTCTCCGGCGGTGACTCGGAAACCCAGCTCAGGGGGTGCGGGCAGCCTCAGCGGCTCCCCTCGCCTGCGCGGCAGCAGAGGAAACCTGCGTTTTCCGGGCCTGGGACTGTCCGATGTGGGGGGGCCATTCTCCCAGGTGCGTTTCTGCCCCCTGGAAGCTTCCGCGTCCTCAGGCCGGCTGTTGCTCTGGGAAGCCACCGGGGCGGCACAGGGCGGCGCCGGGCCCCCGTCGCTCGCTTTCCTCGAGGACCTCCGGGGCAGCCCTCGCGGCATGCGGGGGCCCGTCCTCCTCTGCCCTGGCGGGAAACCTCGGGTGGAGCTGTGGGAGCTCGTGATGGCGTTTCTTTGGGGGCAGGAGCTCACACAAGAGGTCTGGAGTTTCTCGGCGGATGTGTCTACCGAGCTCTCGGCGTGGAGGTTTCTCCGCAGAGGCCCAGGCCTGGGCACGAAGGCAGAGAAGTCTCCCCGGGCCCCAAAGGGCCTAAATGTTGACCGTGCACCCCGAGAGCCATCGGGACCCCCTTTCTGATGGTCCTTCTGTCTGAATGCGGGGTCTCCCTCCTGCTGGGCCAGCCCCTTCCCGCTCTCTCCCAGGGCGCTCCTCACCGTCTTCTCTGTGCAGGAGCCCGGGGCACACCTGAGTGTGGTGGGCGGCACGGGGGTGACCTGCTGCTGGCGCCCACCACACCCAGGGACCGTGCCCACTGCGGACGCTGAGCCGCGGCACATCGTGGAGATGCGAGCACCCAGCACCGCCTTCCTCTGATGGTGTCGCCTGCAGAGGGAGGTGAGGACCCCCAGGAAGGAGCGCAGGGCCTGCGGGATCATACAGCACCATCTCAGAGACGCTCGGACAAAGCGCAGATGCAGAGTCACCGGATACTTGTGGGCTGGCCTGCGAGTGGACAGCGGGGCACGGACAGCTGGGTGACCTGGGCCGGCCACGGAAAACCGGCGGGGGCGGGGATCGGGCTGGGGGCAGCCGAGCCGTCCTGGCAGGTGCTGGCCCCCCAGAGCCCGGGGTGGGGGTGAGGGGCAGGGCCTGCCCAGGTAAGTGCCCATAGGGCACGTGGGTGGGTGGTCGGCGCTTGGATAGAGGGATAACTTCAGAGAGCTCTGGTTCAACTGCCAAGTCAGCCAAAGGTGAAGTGAGCAGTTTGGCGCGTTGCTGGGACGCAGCTCGAGAGCCTGTGAGCAAAGAATGGGCGCCCGTGCACGGGGCGCGCAAAGGGTCCGGAGAGATGGCGCATGCGCGGGGGAGTGTCAGTGTGTGTGTGTGTGTGTGTGTGTGCGCGCCCCTGGGGCGGGGGTGTGTGTGTGTTTGTGTCCCTGGGGCGGCCTAGGGATGCACTGCCGAACTGGGGCGCTCCCAGATCTCCAGGGTCTGTGGGTTGGAGGTTTTTGCCCTGAGAGTGATGAGCTTCTTGACAGGGCACGTACCCCTTCTCCCGGGCTGAGCTCTAATTGTACAGGATCGGTCCCTGCCCAGCAGAGTGGAAACTCTGGGGAGCAGGGTACCTTGCTCAGGAGCCGCTGCATGGGATGGCAGCTTTGACATCAGCACTGCGGGTCCTCCTGCCCTCTCACCTGGTTACAATGGAAAGGAGATCTGCTGGGGTGACAACTGAAATGGCGGCCTGGGCAAGTGGGAGGGACCTATACTCCCTGTGTATTTCCTAGTCCATTCGCGGGGGAGAAGTCTAAGTTCCATGGGTGCTAAATAACACCCAGAGATCTCCTAATCACAGAGAAAATCCATTGTGAACTCAGGGATATCTCAAGAAGCTGGACACACCCCATAGGTCAAGCCCACCTCAGCCCTGAGACACTCTCCTGCCTTCTGTTTCAGCTGAGCTCAGACTGAGTCTTAGCCTTTCTCCATTACTACAGTAGTCTTCCATATCATCTTCCTTGCCTGTTTAACTTTTTTTCCCCCTTTTTTTTAGCCACACTGGCCATGAGGGTTCTTAGGTCCCCACTGGGGTTGGAACCTGCAGGGTTCCGCCTGCAGTGGAAGCTGGTGTCTTAACCACCGGACCTCCATGGAAGTCCCCTGTTTAAGTTGTTTTGGGTGCAATTTTTGCTTTGACCACAGGAAAATGTAGAGGCTTTACGGCAATATAGATTCTGTTACCCTTTGCTTATAGTTGTCATGGGCTTCTCCCCACCCTGCAGTGTTAACAGCTTGGTATTAAGCCCCCAATGGGCAAGGGAAGGAGAACGCTGTTATAGACGGGAAAAGGAGGTTGGGCGGGCTCTAGAAAAGTGGTCTTGGCTTTTCATCGGCTGAAACCTTGCCAGGAAAGCAAAGGAGTCTTCCTTCTTCCTGTTGTGCTCTGCTATGGTCCTTTAAAGTGCATGAGCGCTCCCACTCTGGCCTCCCAACTCTATTTGATTGAAGTTTCTGTTTATTAATTTTTTACAGAAGCATCATGGCTGAGGTTGAAAACAAGTCTTGTCTTCTCTAGGTGTCTTCAATGAATTAAACAGCAAACAAAGTGACATACCGTATGCCCATCTGGGTCGTAAAATAAAGATGAGTGGATAGATGCCACCCACCTGGTCAATGAATAAAATGACACTATTAATTCGTAATTGTTTTCCACCTTAAAACAATAGCCATTTATTTATTTGTTTTCATTTAATTGTATTGGTTGGAGGCTAATTACTTTCCAATATTGTAGTGGTTTTTGTCATACATTGACATGAATCAGCCATGGATTTACAAGTATTCCCCACCCCAATCCCCCCTCCCACCTCCCTCTCCACCCGATTCCTCTGGGTCTTCCCAGCGCACCAGGCCCAAGCACTTGTCTCATGCATCCAGCCTGGGCTGGTGATCTGTTTCACCCTAGATAATATACATGTTTCAATGCTGTTCTCTCGAAACATCCCACCCTCGCCTTCTCCCACAGAGTCCAAAATTCTGTTCTGTACATCTGTGTCTCCTTTTCTGTTTTGCATATAGGGTTATTGTTACCATCTTCCTAAATTCCATAGATATGCGTTAGTATACTGTATTGGTCTTTCTCTTTCTGGCTTACTTCACTCTGTATAATGGGCTCCAGTTTCATCCATCTTATTAGAACTGATTCAAATGAATTCTTTTTAATGGCTGAGTAATATTTCATGGCTGAGTAATAATACCATAGCTTCCTCATCCATTCGTCTGCTGATGGGCATCTAGGTTGCTTCCATGTCCTGGCTATTATAAATAGTGCTGCGATGAACAACAATAGCCATTTATTGTCACACAGTTCTGTAAGTCAGAAGTCCATTCTGGCTAAATTGGATTCCTTACTCATGGTCTGGAGGTGTGAGGCCAGCTGCCTCCTTTGATTGTTTTAGATGACACCCAGAGAACCAGGAAAGTGTAGGGAGGATGAAAATCAGGAGAAAATATAAAAGGAAGTCAGGCTGATTTCAAATTATTACATTTTAAAAAAATACTTTTTGTCCACGCCTTGAGGCATGCAGGATCCTAGTTCCCCCACCAGGGATCGAAACCCATGCCCCCTGCATTGGAAGTACATCATAACCACTGGAACACCAGGGAAGTCCCTCAAATTATTACATACAATTGTTTATCATCCCAGAGTAACTGTCTGTGGCCTACTTTTTTCTGGATATCTTTGTATTTGTCCAAAATCAAGGCCACAGACTCTGCTTTAGACTAAGTTGTTCACTTTAAAGAATTTTGAAGATCACACCAATGGGCTTCCCTGGTGGTTCAGTTGGCAAACAATCCGCCTGCAATGCAGGAGACCACGATTCAACCCCTGGGTTAGGAAGATCCCCTGGAGAAGGAAATGGCAACCCACTCCAGTATTCCTGCCTGGAGAATCCCAGGGACAAAGAAGCCTGGCAGGCTACAGTCCATGGGGTCTCAAAGAGTCAGGCATGATTGAAGCAGCTTAGCACGCACAACCCAATTAAAACTGGTAACAGATTCTGTTAGAAATGTTTATAAATTGTCCTGGGAGAGAAACAGAAAGCAATGTTTTGCCTGGAGACAAAAGGAGTGGTTCCTAGAGTAAGGAACAGCTGATCAATGGGCATTGGGTGCAGCGGAATTTCGCTGTCATTCAGGGTTAAACGCCTCCAGGAAGAAGGAAAGCTGAACATTTACCTATGAATTTAAACTCCTGTAATTTTTAATATTGTCACCCTGCTCACTTAACTTATATGCAGAGCGTATCATGGGAAATGCAGGCTGGATGAGGCACAAGCTGGAATCAAGATTGCGGGGAGAAATATCAGAAACCTCAGAAATACAGATGACACCATCCTTATGGCAGAAAGTGAAGAAGAAGTAAAGAGCCTCTTGATGAAAGTGAAAGAGGAGAGTGAAAACGTTGGCTTAAAGCTCAACATTCAGAAAACTAAGATCATGGTATCCGGTCCCATCACTTCATGGGAAATAGATGGGGAAACAGTGGAAACAGTGACAGACTTGATTATATTCTTGGGCTCCAAAATCACTGCAGATGGTGATTGCAGCCATGGAATAAAAAGACACTCACTCCGTGGGAGTCAAGTTATGACTAAGCTAGACAACATATTGAAGAGCAGAGACATGACTTTGGCAACACAGGTCCATCTAGTCAAAGCTATGGTTTTTCCAGTAGTCATGTAGGGGTGTAAGAGTTGGACTATAAAGAAAGCTGAGTCCTGAAGAACTGATGCTTCTGAACTGTGGTGTTGGAAAAGACTCTCGAGAGTTTCTTGGACTGCAAGGAGACCCAACCAGTCCATCCTAAAGGAGATCAGTCCTGAATATGCATTGGAAGGACTGAAGCTGATGATGAAATTCCAATACTTTGGCACCTGATGCAAAGGACTGACTCACTGGAAAAGACTCTGTTGCTGGGAAAGATTAAAGGCAGGAGAAGGAGATGACAGAGAATGAGATGGTTGGATAGCGTCACTGACTCGATGGACATGAGTTTGAGCAAGCTCTGGGAGTTGGTGATGGACAGAGAAGCCTAGCGTGCTGCAGTCCATGGGGTCAGAAGAGTTGGACACCACTGAGCGACCAAACTGAACTGAACTGAATTTTTAATAATCTTGTGAGGAGGAGATAGTCAGGATATTGTAGTTATCAAGAGACAAACGGCTACAAAACTAAGCGGTCACAGGATCAGATGGGTCCTTGCCTTCTGGTGGATATTTCAGAACGTGGAAGGGAGGTGAGAGGTCTCGCTTAGAACATGGAAGAGCAAGGTCCTTTCATAGACTTTGACACAGTGCCACCTAGTGGGTTGCTGTGAGATGGCTAAACCCTTTCATGATGACTGACTCAATGGACATGGTCTGTCTCTCAGTCGTGTCGAACTCTTTGCAACCGCATGGGCTGCAGCACACCAGGCTTCCCTGCCCTTCATCATCTCCCAGAGCTTGCTCAGAGTCACATCCCTTGGGTCAGTGATGCCATCCAACCATCTCTTCATCTGTCATCCCCTTCTCCTCCCGCCTTCAATCTTTCCCAGCATCAGGGTCTTTTCCAATGAGCTGGCTCTTGGCATCATGTGGCCAAAGTGCTGTGAGCTTCAGCATCAGCATCAGTCCTTCCAATGAATCTTCAGAGTTGATTTCCTTTAGGACTGACTGGTTTGATCTCCTTGCTGTGCAAAGGACTTTCAGCACCACACTTCACAAGCTTCAATTCTATGGCTCTCAGCCTTCCTTATTGTCCATTTCTCACATCTGCACATGACTACTGGAAAACCATAGCTTTGACTATGCAGATCCTTGTCAGTAAAGGGATGTCTCTGCTTTTTAATATGCTGCCTAGGTTTGTCATAGCTTTTCTTCCAATCTTCTCTTTTAATTTCATGGCTGCAGTCCCCATCAGCGGTGATTTTGGAGCCCAAGAAAATAAAGTCTGTCACTATGAATGACTTCAGTGGACAACACTGACTCAATGGACAGA